AACAACAATAGAGAGTGCTATGTTATTTATGTTTATTATGTATAAATGCCTAGACATACAAAAAATATACACTTGATCTAACACACTGATCGGCAACCCTATTCTACATTCTCTATTAATAGATGTTTGCCCCATTCAATAATTTTTTACCATATGTCTACTGTGCTAGAAAAGTAACTAAACGGATACCAATTATTCCAATTACATTAGGAAAGTCTTGTGACAATTGATTTCCGCCCCCTAATTAACATTAAAACCTCAATTAAAATACATAAAAAACAACAAATAAAGTACAACAAAATAAAAAAATTAAGAATTATATTATATTTTTTTGCAGACTTTTTTTGAAACAGCAATAATCAAGGTGTAATAAGCCTTTGGAAGAGAGAGAGAGAGAGAGAGAGAGAGATATCTAAAAAAAAAAAGTGTGCCGAAAAATTATGAAAACTGCATGGGGGAACACGTAATCTAACTATATTGGGCATTTCATGTCCATTATAATATCTATGATATAGTAATTGATCAAGATATTTTATGCGATTAGTAAATAAGGGAAGACCAATCTGGACCTAGCAACATTAGAGTAGACTGTAAAAGGAATATTATAGAATTTATTTAAAGTTAGATATATTTTATTTAGTTCTTTTATGATTTTATCCAACAGAGGGGGCAGCCATCAACCAGATTGGTATACAATAATCAATAAAGGATTGAAAATTAGCAAAGAAAATCGATTATAAAACAATTTTAGAAGCTATTGAAATGGCAAAATCTTGATAGGATAATATCTTCTAAAGTGATCTGGTGGTGGAACCTATGTAATAAAAACTTTCACCCTTTCTATTTAACTTCAGGGCATAAATTCCTGATTTGGAAAGCATCTCTTCTTTATCCTCATCACTATGAAGTACAAGAATCACTCGTATGTTCATGATAGTGAGTGGCCATCTTACTTTAACGATAAAACTGCTATTCTGGTATATACAGTAGAACAAATAATGTAGCCATAAGTTTACCTGTAATAGTTAATACCTATTTTTATCTTTCCTATTTTGTTTAACTTTTTCTCTGTTTCCTGTTCATTATCTCACATTTGTGGCTTTAATGATATTGCTCATAATATCTTTAGAGAGACTTCTAGCTACTCTTGATATGTTGAAGTTTTTCTTTCTCTGTCAATCACAAAAGATGAATCCTGTAAGAAAGACTCATCTTTTGCAGTTGCATCATGTTATGTCAGATGGTTCTTGTTTCATAACAGATTTTGCCGTAATGAACAGGTGAAGACAGAAGAGCCTTACCTGTTCACTGCAGAAGATGAATAGATGAGGATTCTGACGACAGCTAATTTGTGTTCTATTAAGTCTTCTAATTTCCAATGGATGAAATAGTCTATTAATGTGGATTTCCTGAAGACTTTTGTGTAAAGATGATTGTTTCTTTTATACACTGTATGTAATATATAGGAAATTGGTCCTCTTATAACTGTCCTTTGTAAAGAAAAGACTTACTCCTGAAGTGTTTTAATTTATGATTTTTATTAATCCTCGTGCTACCTCTTTATGCCTCCAGATGATAAGCATGTCATTGATAAATCTCATTACAAGTTTTATGCTTTTCTTGAAAGTTAGTAACTCTTTCTTAATAAGCAGAATAAAGAAGGAAAGATACTGGCTATGATGCTAAGTTTTACAAACTCTTATGATTTTAATGTAATTCTTATTTAAATAACTATATTGAATAGTACAGAAACAAAAACACCTCATTCAATTATAAATATTCATTACCATAAATTATTAAGACAAATATTTTTGAAATTTTTATACATTTTGTAAAATTTATCTCAACCAGATATGATCAGCATCCTGCTAAGCATACTTACTGTGTACAAATAGAATAAAATAAAAAGTCTAGCAATCTTTATAAGCCTAGAAAACCATTATTAGAATGCTTAATAATTCACAAAAAATTCAAAAAAAATCAGAATAATAAATTTAATTAATTAATTTAAGCATCTAAAATATATTGTTTTCCTCTTTACAAGAGGCAATTATATTTTATACAAAGCAAGATATATCTCAAACTTGAGGTTATTAGTTAACATATGCTTGGCACAAACGCAGCATTAAATGAAAGCAACACTGATCACTCAGAATTGTAGATCATATTTATTGGAGCATAATGTAAAGCAAAGCTATAAATACAAATATAACTCCATGTAATATACAAAGTATGCACTAGAGGAGTTTTAGAAGTTTAACCCCAATTTGAGAATTAAAAAATTAAATAAAAAAATACACCGACACATAAAAGTGCCGAGAAAAATTCGTACAGTTTTAACTAGTTACTTCTTATCAACAGCTGATGACAATTCCGAAGACGTTAAGAAGAACGTTTTATGACTGCTCTTTCTTATAACAGTGCTTCTGTAGTAGACTTTGCCAAATGACATCTACATCCATACTTTTATTTAAATTAATCGAATTTAACTGTTATAATAATTCAGTTCGTTTCTAAAATAGTTTTTTATATANTTAATTAAATTTGTTTTATAATTACCAATCACTATTTCAGAAAAAAACCTGCATTAAAATTAGCCTTATCATTATACAGGTATACCTTGCTAAACACAGTTAATTAATCCCTTAATTGTACCAAGTATATCAAAATCAGGTTAATCAAAATATAGTATCTATGTTAAGTAAAGACAGCTGGTAAAACTGTATAAATTAAAACTTCTGCTGTGTATATAAAGAAATTGATGCAATTAATTTCGCACATTAGTCAAAATCATGTTAAGCAAGGATCCCTGTAGTATATTTCAATTTATTCAAAAAATTTATATATAACTTTAAATAAAATATTAATTTTATTATTCAAAACATTGTATTCAATGAAAAATTATTACTCAAGAACTTTTGTCATCAATTAACAGCCAAATTGTTATAATATTCTCTCATTTGATAGTAGAGTTTGTGCATTGGAATTTTCCACTATAAAATGCTTTGTTATAACCTTACAAACAGTTGTAATGTTATAAGTGAATGTGAAGTCCCTTGTTATAAGCTCATATTATATAATAAGGTTGTATTGATAGCTAATCAGATCAATCCTTATATGAATCCAGTAAGATAAAACAAAATGCCACTTTATCGAACAGCAACTAAGGAGAAAAAGTATTTTGATTTTCTAATGCTGAAAGATAGAACAGTTCACAAATTGTTTAATGTTTCCAAGGATATTCCAAATTACAAAGGAATGTGCATTCTGTATTATTTCAAGATATTCCAAGGTAATGAAAACAAGTAAAACAGCAAAACCATATTTGGAACAAGACTGTCTCGGAGACTCACTACTAAGCGGAATCACTTTGACACTCAAGGCGGGTCTTGTTCTCATTCTCCAATCTTCTTTGGTATCGCTGCTTTTGGGCGCGATTGTTCAAACTTCGCCAGCTACAATCACGAGGTCTTCCATGATGCATTTTCAATGAAATTAACCTATCTAATTTCGAAATTTCTCTCCGTTGCGTGTCGTCCCGGGCTGAATTTTTATCAATGCATAACGAAAATTTCCCGTTTTTGAAAAAAATAATCGTGGCTATTGTATCGTCCGAAATTATTTTATTTTGCACAAACAATATACAGTTTAACCTGATTATAATGTCATAGAATGTAACGACAACCCTAACATAACGTCAAATTTTTATTGGTCTCATGATTTTACTATACTAGATAATGTTAAAAAACCTACTTGTAATGACACCCTGTTTTAATGTCATATTTGAAGCACTCCCAAATTTACAAAATTAGATTACAAATTTTATTTAACATAGAAGAAACTGTGTGTTCAGTCCTAAGGTCAGAGTTCACTTTTTAGAATGACTGTGGGTGGTACTCTCCCCTACCTGACTTCAGTGCGGTGAGGTGGCTGTTTTGCCTGTTTATAGAAGAGAGCCGCCATTTTATATTTTATTTTGACTCGGTTCTCAGTCCCCTGACTACCTACAAGTCTGGATTTTTTTATGTGCAAATGATTTGGGCACCTAATACTCTGTGCCAAATATCAATTCTCGACATGTATTCTTCATACCTCTATGCTGGTAACATAAAACAGAAGTATGATTTTATAAACAAGACATATTTAATGTATTTTGTCGACAAGACTATGGTAATTAAATTCTTAGAAGTTGATATATATTTGTATTTTAAGATTTAAATCTTATAATTTAGGATATAAAAATAATATACTTTACCAAATAACAACAAGACAGACTTGATCAAAAAAGGAAATTTATGAAATATGATGATCATAAGTCAAAAAAAAAGAGTGGTCAAGAACAATTAAATATCAACAACAATCTTGTTTTCAAAATGTGACATTATAAGTATAATGAATAATTGCCTAAACACTATTTGTGATATTCAACATTACACTAGAAACTTATAATAATGGAAAATAAAAATATGCAAACTTTATAATTTGAAACTGCCTAATTATTTTTACATTAAATATAACATATAGCATAACCTAACAATATTATAATAAATCCTAATCCTTCCTTTTCAATTGCAAATTACAAATTCACATGTTATCTCTAAAATATGTCAAATTAAGCATGAAGAATTGTTACTTTTAATAAATATGTGCTAATTTATACTATTAACTAAATTTATTCCAAAGCTGAATGGTATCAATATGTCAATAATCATTAAAAATTTTATTCAGAAATTAAAATAATTCATTTATTTACTGTGCTAGAAATTATTTAGACTTTAATACTTTGTTATTATATAATAAAATTTAGTTATTATGGATTTTTCTACCACATAATTGAATTTTTTCCATATTTATTTTCAACATTTAATAATCCTGTTAATATTGGCTGATTATTTCACATCAGTTAATAACAATTATTAAAATTTCCCAACAGTTAATCTATAGTGATAATTATGGGATGATAACATGTGGATACATCTCTAATTAAATACACTACTTACAAACTTTAAAATCACAGCAAATTTCTTCTCTGGTATGTATGTAGCATCTGTACATAGTGTTACTTTATAAAACAAAAATCATAGAACATTTCTTTTAAAATATACTTAAAACGTTTAACTAATCTGTCAGTTATTTACATACAGTACCTAGCATTTGTACTTCAACATCACATTGTATTGTAGGAATTTAAATATAACCTTTTGCATCTGAAAATCAAATTCTTCTTAAATTAAAAAGAATTGTTGTTACGCAATTACAAGAATGAACTCAAGGTCACTATCATACACCCTACTGTCATATCTATTACAGAATGGAGTTTGTTTATATTTCTTTATATATTGTAAAACATTATTTTCATTTTTATTATATATGTTTACATACATAAGGTAAATGTGTTGAACTTTAAATCAGTATAATGAAAATAAGCTGTTTCTAATTTATATTAGAATTACTAATTAGTCAATAAAAATTAAAGTTTACTTCATGAAATCATAAATGCAAATATTTATCAGGTTTTAGAGGTAAATTTACTAAATAAAAACATATATTTAGAGTAATTTATAATCATTTAACTAGTAAGACATATATATTTCATTGTTTATAATTGAATACTTAATAGTTTGATAATCTCCATTATAAGTGCAACAAATTGCTATTTTCAAGTTACTTTNACACGTGTCGGGTTGTGATTGGAAGGATTCGTAAGAAAGCGGATTCCTAGAGAATGGAACGTATCTCTATCTTATAGGGGGGTCGACTGTATTTGTATTTTAAGATTTAAATCTTATAATTTAGGATATAAAAATAATATACTTTACCAAATAACAACAAGACAGACTTGATCAAAAAAGGAAATTTATGAAATATGATGATCATAAGTCAAAAAAAAAGAGTGGTCAAGAACAATTAAATATCAACAACAATCTTGTTTTCAAAATGTGACATTATAAGTATAATGAATAATTGCCTAAACACTATTTGTGATATTCAACATTACACTAGAAACTTATAATAATGGAAAATAAAAATATGCAAACTTTATAATTTGAAACTGCCTAATTATTTTTACATTAAATATAACATGTAGCATAACCTAACAATATTATAATAAATCCTAATCCTTCCTTTTCAATTGCAAATTACAAATTCACATGTTATCTCTAAAATATGTCAAATTAAGCATGAAGAATTGTTACTTTTAATAAATATGTGCTAATTTATACTATTAACTAAATTTATTCCAAAGCTGAATGGTATCAATATGTCAATAATCATTAAAAATAATTTAAGCATCTAAAATATATTGTTTTCCTCTTTACAAGAGGCAATTATATTTTATACAAAGCAAGATATATCTCAAACTTGAGGTTATTAGTTAACATATGCTTGGCACAAACGCAGCATTAAATGAAAGCAACACTGATCACTCAGAATTGTAGATCATATTTATTGGAGCATAATGTAAAGCAAAGCTATAAATACAAATATAACTCCATGTAATATACAAAGTATGCACTAGAGGAGTTTTAGAAGTTTAACCCCAATTTGAGAATTAAAAAATTAAATAAAAAATAATAATAATGCCTATAGTCTATATTCTAAAAATTAATAAGTTAATTTAAATTATGAAAAATGATTTTTTTTAAACCCCACCCTTTTAAAAATACTTTAATAGGTGAACTGGCCTACTAAAAGGAATAAAAAAACTTTAAAACAAATATTTTGTCAGTAATCACACCTAGACTTATGATTCCTTTTGCTTTTCTTTCTGTCTGTATAGACACCTATAATCTTAGCAAGATGCTAATCACAACTGATAGAGAAAAATCATATCCTTCTTTAATTCCTTCAGTAAAATTTCCTATCGTTTTTAATTATTAAAGAACTACTACTACTTAATTAAATTTGTTTTATAATTACCAATCACTATTTCAGAAAAAAACCTGCATTAACATTAGCCTTATCATTATACAGGTATACCTTGCTAAACACAGTTAATTAATCCCTTAATTGTACCAAGTATATCAAAATCAGGTTAATCAAAATACAGTATCTATGTTAAGTAAAGACAGCTGGTAAAACTGTATAAATTAAAACTTCTGCTGTGTATATAAAGAAATTGATGCAATTAATTTNATATGTTTACATACATAAGGTAAATGTGTTGAACTTTAAATCAGTATAATGAAAATAAGCTGTTTCTAATTTATATTAGAATTACTAATTAGTCAATAAAAATTAAAGTTTACTTCATGAAATCATAAATGCAAATATTTATCAGGTTTTAGAGGTAAATTTACTAAATAAAAACATATATTTAGAGTAATTTATAATCATTTAACTAGTAAGACATATATATTTCATTGTTTATAATTGAATACTTAATAGTTTGATAATCTCCATTATAAGTGCAACAAATTGCTATTTTCAAGTTACTTTCATATAAATATGATATATATATATATATATAACTACAAATTTCATATATAATGACAATAATAATATAATAAAGATAATTTGTTATTGTATAAAGTTGCATCATTAAACATTCACATAAAAATATTGCAAAAAATCTTCATGTAATATAATTACATGCCAAGGCAATAAAATATTGTCAGATCTTAATCCAACTATAATATGACTAATTAATTATAATCTGATTAAATCCAGTGATGACATTTATTACTATTTATAGGGCTTGGTTTATATGTAATTACAATAAAATAGTCTAATAATATATTTACTAATGCATTATTCAAATACAAAACAAAATTGCAAGAATTGCTAATATTCAAATGTATTATGTATTTTAAATAAATTTGCTATCAATACACCATTATTAAGTTACAAATAAGTTTGTATTCTGAAACTTATTGAAGAAACAAAAGTAATAAATACTATACGAGTTATTCATGTACCCTTATATTTAATTACATTTTTCATAAAATATGTAATATTAGGCATTGACTTTTAATACATTTAACAGATCTAAATTATTCAGCATTTGAGATTCCTAATAACTGAATTCTTGCTTCTTAAATACTACTTATAAATAATAAACATTCAGCCCCAAAAAATTTTTGTATGCTTTATTCACTACACTTCTAAAAGAAACTTCAAATCATGGTTAACATTATTATTAAATTGTAAAACTAATAATTTTAATCAAATTATTGATTGGATTTCCACAGATACTTCTAGATGGCTAATAAATGATTTAACACTACTCATCTATATAACAGTTTATACAAATTTTAATACGGTAATACCTCGACTCACGCTACCCTGACTTACACAAATCCGGAGTTACACAATTTTCAAATCTCGTCGATTCATCTTTTGTATGAGTGCCATGCAACTTTTGATTACTCACTCCCCCACACTATTGTTCAGCTTACATGTTCGGACGTGTAGCGCAGAATCGACACATAGCTACAATTTATTTTGTGTTATTTATTTCTGTGTTTGTTATATCTACGGAGACTTGAGAGACTCTATGTGGTGATTTCTTGTAACCATGAACGAATCAAAAGACGAGATAAGATTAACGAGAACATTTATTAGTTTACATACATCCGACTTGGATTTTACACAAATTGCGAAATTATACCCAGACTTACACGAATTCGACTTACGTGGTTATCGCTCGGTCTCACCTATCGCATAAGTTCGGGGTATTACTGTATTCGTAAATCTAATTCTTTGAACAGAAAGAATGTAAGACCGAATACGAAGAGGAATAAACATCCAAGTATGTAGTCTGATAAAAAGAGAATTAACAGCAAATATTTTAGAGTAAAACCAAAAATATTCACAAATGAATATATAGAAGTGTAGATTCAATTACATAAAATGACAATAGGATACACTGGCATCGATCCATAAGGGTCAAAAGGGATCCTCCCCAATATTTCTGTAATGACAAATTGTCTTCTTTCCAAGATATAAAATATATACACATCACACTACAAAAATTAGGAGTCTGAACAACTACAAGCACAACAGATACGCCTTACTTTTTACATCAGCAACAAATATTTTCTTAATCATTTACATCGGCCCAATCCTGATACAAACAGACCAATACAGACGATTCATGGATTTGCAAAGAGAAATACCAATAAAAATGTAGGAAAAAAGGTTCAAATTTATTGCTCATAGGTTATGAGTTGATAGTAAAAAAAAAAAAAAATTCTAAGAGCATTTAATTTTCAATTAAACGCTCTTAGAATTTTTCTTAGGTGACATTCATCTCCATCTTTACAGGCCAATTCTATTTTGGTACAAATCATTTAAATATATACTCAAATTCTCTGTCTAGTTACAACCCAGAAGAGAAAGTGAAACAAGAAATGGAAAAGAATACAAAATAGAAAGGATTTAAATGCTGATCAAACAGATAATAAGTGTTTAAAAAGGGACACCACTTAAAATCTTTCCTCATCTGGAGGAAGAGGAAGATGCTTATGTTGGTGATGATAAGCCACGTTTCTGACCATCAAATAAATAAGATTTTAGTCCTTCATTCGTAAAAATCACTTTTAGATACGGTATATTTATTTAAAGATATTTAAACTGTGTAAACGGAGACATTTCGTATCAACTTCGGTGACGTAGACTTAAGCAGTTTTTACGTAAATTCATCGCCCGTTTTTCTTTTTGTTTACGTCACAAAGACGTTTACGAAACGTAATGCACGAGCGAAACGTTGTAAATTCATTTGAAAAACTTCATATTTACCTTAAGCCTAAGACCGGTACTTACGAATATCCCATTTTTAAAGCGAGAACGTCGAGTATTTAATCGCACATAACATATTATATGAATATAGACGATCTTAATTTACAAACTGATAATTATAACAAGATAAAATTATTATCTGTACACGAATAAAGTCTCATTAACATTTAACACAAAGAATGAATAACAAAATTTTCTTCCCTCCCAACGGAAAACAACAGTTCCGCACTCATCGACCAGACGATAAACAATTTGTTGAAATTCTACTTTTTCTTTTCTTTTTTTTATTTTTTCCCCAGTTTAATTTTTATTAAATAATTTTACGTTAAAATTATTAAATCGTACTTTAATTATATTAAATCTTAAATGTTATTAATTGTCTTGTGTTTTTACTTTTTTAAAAGAGTGTTATGTAGTCTGATTTTTTTGTGTAAAAATACATTACTTTTATCGGTGAAATGTATTTTTTTAAATACAATTTCTTAGAAATAAACATATTATAATTATTTTTCCGTTAAATGATATTAGAATTTTTTAAAACCAATAATTAGTAATAATTTTAAATGAATTAGTTCGATTGACGGGAGGTGACGCTTTTCATTCTTCCATTGCTGATAAATACGGGTCCGACCCTCAATGGGTGATAGTTTGTGGGTGGTTTGTGCGTGATACGTCGAGCTCTGTCTCTTATGACCCATTTTGGTCTCGGCGGGACATAAAAAAAAGGTCTTTTATAGTGCCACCGTGTTGAAAAATTAAATTGCAATGGGATTTACTCGCCATTCTGTGGGTACTAAGACCTTTGTTATCAAACCCATTATGGGTTCGGCCAGACCCACAATGGGTGCGGGCCGGATAGTAACGGACGAGACCCGACATATCCGGAACGGACCGTCTTCCGAAAAATTCCTGTGGTTTCCGATTGGTTTTATTCGGATACGACCACGAGACACTTGGACGATCTGCCGAGGGGGAAATGCCTCCTGGGAGGTATTTTATGAGGAACTGGAACTCATTTATACGTTACCAATGTGAGAAAACCCGGAAAACTCCACCTAGCCAGCTTGGTGAGACTCAAACCGGCGATTAACTACCAGTATTGTGTGGTTTTATCAGTACTCGGGCCTATTGTGGGTTCCGCCCAGGCCTATAATGGGCGCCGGGTGGTGAGGGCCAGACATACAACTAAACGTTTTTACCGGCCATTTTTTAATATGAATATTGTATACGATTTTAGAACCTATAATGTTATTTTGTATATATGTTGACAAGCGAATGGCCGAGTGGTTAACCAGTCTGCCACAGAAATCTTCCGGGAACCACCCTTTGGCAGATTGCTCGTGTTGCGTCGCCTTATGCAATACTATACACGAAGTGTCACGCACTCTACTTGTATCACAAATAGCATATTATTATTGTATTATATAAGCGTTAAAACTGAAAATTAGACAAAACCATAAAGGTTTAAGAAGAAATGGTTTTCTTTTTTCTTCAAAAATAGCAAAAGTATGAAAAAAATAAATCAACATTACTACAAATCTCGATTTTAGAAGTTTCTTCAAATTGGTTTTCAAAATATAAAATTGCATTGAAGTTTTATAATATAATAATTTGCGCTTAACGTCACTATTGTATATTTGTAACAATAAAATAAGAATGGATTGTGGAATTAATAAGACAACGCAACGTGGGGCGATTTGCCGGGGGAGAGTGCATCCCAGGAACTTTCTGTAGGAAACTGCCCCTGTTCAGTGGTTAAACACGTAAAAAAACCGGAAAGCACTTAGTCGGGCCCATTGATAGGCGCGAACCCGCAACTAATGTTCAGTAGTTTTATTCACTCGACGAAAGAATACGACTAGAATTGAGGAATTAGCTTGAGTATCAGTCAGTCGCAGATAATCAGGCGACTGCCACTGACGGATCAACATCAAAGTGGCATAGACAAAAAGTCAATAACTGGCAAGTCTGGTCAGGGTCCAGACCGTTACCACATTTCTGGCAGATCAAAAAGTCGAGCAGAATTATATTAAAAATGGAATCTTCCATCAAATGGTTATTAGCTTATCTTAAGCCTTCTTTTTTTAATCCTTTCTCATCCTCATGATCGGTAGACGCAGGTCTACCGATCATGAAGATACAATACTTTAAAAAATAAGTTAATTTGTATATTTTAAGCAATCTTACATAAAATTAGTTACGTTTGTCATTAAACTAAACATGTCTAGTTTTGTTTTTGAATTTTCCTCCGCTTGAAATTTCTAAAATTCAAGAAACTGCTTATGAAAGATTACCCCTAAAATTCCTCAATTATTTTTATTCCATATTCTCTTCTAAACATAAATCACTAATTTTTAGAGACATCTCACAAATCTCGCTTGTATTTCATTCATTATCTAAAGTTTATGCATGAAGATTAGCTTATTTCTATTGGCGCAAGGCCCATTTCGGCTAAGTTGCACCGTATATATGCCTTAAGTAAATATATTATTTTTTTAAGCTTCGACAACCGAACTTCACAAATCTTGACACAAAACAAAGAATAACACGGTCACAATTCTGTGTCTTTTTTTAAAAAACTCTTTCCACCCTGTGGGCACTAAGAAGGCCTCTTTTATGTTGTTGTTTGTTAAGTTTATGGCAACGCAACACTTGGGCGATCTGCCTAGGGATGATGCCTTCCGGGAGGTTTTTTAAGGGAAACTGGCCTCTATTTAGGTGTTACAGACGTGGAGAAAACCCGGAAAACTCCACGTGGCCAGCCCGTCCGAGCGACGCGCAAACCCACGACCGAACTCCCAGTGTTCAGGGTACGAAGACCGCTTGGCCACTGGTGGGCCTAGGGCCTCTTTTAGCAAGCCAATTATGGGTTCCGCCATGCCCACAATGGGGCGATCGGGTGGTGAGGTACGGGGCCCGACATATCCGGACGGGCCACCCCCAAAAAATTCCTGGGGATTTTTTCATCCGTCCGCGTTAGATCCCGGGTCCCCCAGAGCGGTAGGCTGCCACCTTGACCGCTCGGCCGTCCGGCTATAACCATTCTGTGTCAATCATCAAGCGTTCGGTGTCGCCACCTAGTATTTGAAAGGATTATTACGAAAAGGAATATCGATGACGTAGACGATCAGCAATGATAATGAAAGGTATGTCAGATGCCGTTTATAAATTACTGATTAAAACTTTAAATACAGTTATGACTTTAAAGTGTTTTAAAGAGAAGACAATATTTTAAAGAATAAGTTAATTTGTATATTTTAAGCAAAATTATTTTAAAATTTTCCGATGGATCATGATTTCAATTGTTTACTACTCTACGTGCCTAATTACTATAAATTTGATTTACATCACATTATATAACTTTTGTAATTAGATTTAGATTTAATCAGAGTAACCGGTATATTATTACCGAGAAATTCAGTGTAACATTACAAGACTCCAGCTTTTGTCAACATCAGCGAAACACTGATTACTTTTGGGCGGAAATAATACGTGATACATGCGTGTTCGTGAATCCTGGCTAATATTTACTGTAGCACTTTATTAATAAATTTCGGTAATAAAACCTCAATTCTGAATTAAAATCAGTTTGACATCTGCTTAAAAACTGGTTAATCGATTTCCCAGTTTTGCCGGCACTAACAAGGAAAAGTCACAGATTTCAACCGTATTGGCTCTGTGGATAAGCTTTCATACGAACCTTTATTGAGCAAAGGAAGAAAGTGCGCTTATAAAACATTATTAGTCATAACTAACTCACAATATCACATTGAATGCGTGATGTCTGAAAAGTTCGGTGAATATTAGGATACATTGAATGCAACGCGTGTCACAAGGTGCCGACATCCAGGACATGTCTAGAAGTACTTTCTAGAGTGGAATACGCATGGCTTTAAGTGGCTTTCCGCCGCAGTCATTTGAACATGATCTGTGTGAGAGGTAGCGTCGAAGAGCAATAGAACAACAGCGCTTGAAGCTGTACTTCAGATTGGGGAAAATAAAGACAGAAACGCAGGAATTGTTTATCAAAGCAATCTTGTGCCTGCGGAGTTGTTTTTGTTTCTTTGCCTCAGAATTCATTAAGCGATCACGTTTTGCTGATGTGTCTGCATTTCATGCTCATGTGATAGCAGTTCTTAAGGCGGTTCCAAACTGTTTCCACAACTATATCAATATTGCCAAAAGTGTGTTGTGTCTCATGGAGAGTATTTTGAAGGTCAACAAAAGTAATTCCTGTGTATCTTATTTTAACATTTACCGAATTTTTTATACACTGCTACGAGATAGCTGCTTACTGTCATATACACCATGTATATGACAGTAAGCAGCCACCTCTCGATATCACTTTTCTGGTTTCTTATTGTTTATATCATAATATTTTTCTTTTTCAGAGCTAACAATGCAAGCAGACAGTAAATATAAAGTTATAAAGTAAGAATAATAAAATTATACTCTATAAAATGATTAATTATCCCAGTTTTAAAAACAAACGTCGAATTCATTTAAACAATTCAAAAAATAAACTTTTAAGGAATAGAAAGTGAACTTGTTTAATAGAAAATAAGTAGGCAAAAATTATTAACCCACTTTTCCCCTTTGCTGAGTAAAGGTTTGTATTAACGTTTATCCACACAAACAATATCATTGAAAACTGTAATGATCACGTCGTGATCTCCTAAGATATACCATATATATAGAATATATTTGTTTTGAAGTGTTTATAACGGAGTTTCAGAACAAATTGCTTTATTAGTTTAACTGTATAATCCTTATGTCAGGTGTAGTATTTCCTACAGCTATACCTGACATAAAGGAATATAGAGTTAAATTAATAAGAATACAGCTACCCCATTTGAGCAAATTGCTTTATTTAAAGCGTATAGCGATGACTCATTACATTTCTTATTGTTTTTCAATGCTTTGAAACATTTGCAAGGTCGTACTGATCAAGTAGCGGATGTTCTAGTTTTGAATCCACAAGTTTTTTATCCTTTAGACAAAGAATTCTACGTTTCAGATTACGTATTCGTGAATTTCTTCGCCCCACTTTCTGCTGCAGTAATTTTATTCTCTTGCATAAAGCTTGAACGGTGACTGGTAATGCACACGCCACTGTTTGAACAGCTTGATCTTTTGTTCTTGGCTCTATATCAGTTTTATCTGCGCTGCCAGCAATTTTATCAACATTTTGATTTTTGTTTGTTTCATTCGTACTTTCTTCCCTTATACCGTCGTTAATCACATTAGATTCAGGGAATGTCGACTTTCCTGAAGTGTTAAGTATGGCTTCTGAATTATCTTGTACATTACTACTTTCAACAGTTTCCGATCTGTGTAAAAAGGCTGTTTTCGGCTTTTTTTCACTCGGTTGATAATAAGACGGGAAAGCACTAAACATTGACGGAACTGCATCTTCTTTTAGTTTTTTCGTGAATGCTCCAGGTCGTAATTTAAAATCAGTGTCTTTAAAATGCTCACTACAAAGAGATGACGATTTCGTAGGTTTAAAGTTTTCCCTTCTTACAGCAGTAACCCATTTTTTGAGTAAATCAGGTTTTTTCAGTGGAAATCTGCAAGACATAAAACTGTGCAGATAAAACTGATCCGATATAACTGGAATTTTTACAATACGTTTACATTAGAAAAGTTAAACGAGTTTAAGTCGTGAAACTAGTCAAACAGTCGTAGCCAAGGTCATAGGGAAATTGAGAATTTTCCTCGAACTGGTAAAAAATTAGGGCTCTTTAGTGAATCCTACTCCTATAAATTAATGTTATATTGTTAATATTGCGACCAGAGCCATCGAGAGCTTCTATAAGGCCGGTGTAGAACGCATCCTACAGTTGATCTCGTCTTTTTGCCCTTTAGAGGCCCGCTGAAGGACAAAATGGCGCGCTCAATCCCGCTCCTACAGAAGATTCCGATAGCACTTAATCGTAATATATTAACATAATTAGTTCAGCTGAAGTCAAACGAAATTATCTAGAAAAGTTAGCTTTATCATTGCATATCAACCTGGATAGAACCAGATGCGCCACAATTTATGACTGTTTGAGGCAAAAACGAGCTCGAATTTAACTTAAACTGGATTATATTTTCTTGTATAAATGACTTACGATTTAAATTCGTTTAAATTTAAACGTGTTTATCTCCGAACGAGTATAAATTTCCTATTTTAAACTTAGTATTAGGTGTGCACTAGACTATTTACCGATAAAAATGTATTCCAGAATGTTTCACAAATCTATTGGTACAGCCGTAAGCACTACACGATATTACCATGGTTCAATCGACGGTCCAAAATTCAAAACAAAATGAAAACACGTTTTCTTGCCAGCATTCAATATGGCTACCGCCATACACCGGAAGCCTCGCCTTCAAACGTCAACTTCCTGTTCCTGTTACGGTGTGGTCGAGATTACGTCTAGTTAACCTTATTCTCCAACTACGATTACATATAACAAATTCTTTATCTAGGTTACTTGAATTATATATAAGTTACGTACTGTACAATATATATATAATTTATAAATATATTATAAATCTAAGGCAATACGCTTAAAACAGCGACATCTATTGTTCGATTTGCGAGACAATATTTTAAATTTGATCGTCTTAAGATACGCGCATGTTGATTAGTCGGAAAAGGAACGAGACGAAGGCTACGTCAAATCGAAAAACCAATCAAAAAATAAGAAAAGAAATTCTTTAATCGATTGTAGTGACGCCTCTCGATAGAACTGATATACAGTATTTTATTTTTATTATTTTTTTTATTTTTGTCGCGACACACCTTTCACGGTTCCTCCTCGTGTTCTATTAACACTGGTTAAATAAAATAATATCTTATAAAATTAAGAGACGTGTTTTAATGTTTTTAAAACGAAAAAAAAGGAGGGGAAAAGTAGTGAAGAGCGCAAACTAATATGGTGTGAAGAAGAGTAACCTTGCACGCTATCTTCTGTACAGTATCGTGTGTCATCAATCTGACACGCTCGAATCCTTCAATAACGTCAATACCCCCCATCAAAGACGTCATAAAATGAAATTTATCAGGAACCAAAACCTCTCGGAAACACACGAACTAATTAAAACCCGATCCTCGTAATTCCACCAATTAACGCGACGTCTCGTGTCTTTTTTTTTTCTTCTAGTGTGACGCATTTAAAGTATTGTTATCGAGCGATTTAATTGGTTCCGCTATACGAGAAACCCTTTAAAAAAAAAAAAAAGGGTGCCTATTGACCTTGGCTCGTACCTGCTTTCCCTACTTTCCTTTCATAATGGATGGGTCCAGGTAATGACGAGAGAGAAAGTTGAACGACAAATTGTCAGACCAGAAATGAAAACGAGGCTGGATAAGGGTGTACGTGGGTTTCGTGTGGTACAGCCACCTGTCCGTACAATTGTACATATCCGTCCTATAGATCTAATGATATCGGAGCGTGTAGAATGCCCAGGAAACTATTGGGTGAGTACCTTAACACTCGAACTCGATCTAAACAAATTCGTTTTAGTACCGCAACGTGTACCAGCCATTTACCAAACTTTATAACGGAGTTCCGACGGGGGAAATGAGGTCACAGAAGTGATTATCCCGCATTTAACGCTACGGTATTATCGATTAGAAGACAATGATTTTCGGTCTTTACGTACGGAAAAACTCTAAATAAATCGGTTTTTTTTTTACGGTTTATAACCTCTAAGCTCTGTACTCGAGTACACGCGTACGCGTTAAGTAGGTCGGAATTAACATGCCACTTCTCCAGTGTACAAAAAAAGAAAAAAATCAACAGATGGTGCAATGTTTGCTGATGAAAAAGCCGATGACTAGCGATATCGATATGCGTTTTTTTTTACGAGTGTCGAGCGTTATTGAGAGGTTAATATTTAGCGTAATTATTAAAAAAAAATATGTTTTTAAGATCGGAAAGGGGTGAGGCCAAGTGTTAAATCGTGTATTGTTACAGGTTAACGCGGTAGATATATAATTGTACACGCCGTATCAATATGCGTGTTATACACGAAACTAAGTCATAGTTTCGAATATTTCGAATTTATTTCGGGTTTCTGCGGTAAAAAAATCACAGGAAATTTCAAAAATCTCCCTATTCTTTAACTAAATCATTAATTTTTACAGCCATTTATTATTCTACTCTGTGCTATTTAAAAATTTCAGATAAACTTAACGAGTTCAGAATTATAAATTTTTTAATAACCGGTTCTCGAAATTTTTATTGATTTTCATATATATATTTTTACTGTTTTAATTCTAAATTAACTACGATATTTATTCATTTTATATCTAATTTTTTGTGTTAAGTAAGCAACAAGTTACGAAATTGTAGGGGAATTTCATGATTTGTAGAAATTTTTCTTGTGTCATTCTGTCGAAATTTGTAGATGAATGAATAAAAAAAATCAAACTGGTTCAAAGATGTAATATTCCTTGGATTTTATGATAAATATAATTCTGAAGAATAAGAAATTCTTGAGATATTGTTATTTTTAATATATATATAATATAGTATATAGGATCACAGATATTCTTAAAATAACTTTATATTTTTAGAATATCCGCCATCCTATATAGGCTACTATAATACATTGCTAGGAATACAGGATTGCGGATATTCTGAAAATAACTCGAATTTTATAGGCATTAGTCATAAGGATATTCTTAAGAATTCCCATTCTTTTTCCTGTCTCTTCCATTTTATAATTATTATTTTTGACCCTTTCTGCCTTGTATTTATTAAGAGGGCCTCTTCTCCAGGTCTGTCGTGGGTTGGGCTAGGCCCAACTAGTCGTGTACCCGACATATCCGGCCCCAAGAAATATCCTGAGTACCCTACAACGATTGGCTTGTGCAAAATCGCTTTGGCCATCATCAATTTTTTTTTTTTTTTTTAAATACCATTAACTATATTATTCCTTAATCTAAGAATAAGGATTGGATTGATGGAATAAGGCAACGTAACAGTCAAGCCCTCTGCCAAGGAGTGTGCCTTCAGGGAGGATTTTCAATGGGAAACTGGCCCCTATTTACGTGAAAAAAAAACCTCGTGGCTGGAAGTTGACCAGACGCGAATCCGCGACAAACTTGTGTTTAATGATTTTATCCACCATGCCACTCTAAGAATAGGAATTACTCCTTACTCCTTACTCCTAGAGTAAGTAAATATGATGCATATATTGGAATAAATTACAATATATAAATGTTTAACTTTACAAAATTTAATTGATGGTTCTTTAATGTAAAAGAACCGGTTAATAGATCTGTAAAGGACATAAAGCGATTTCTGAAACAGAAAAAAAAAGATGTCTTTATAATGTAAGGCATTTTTCTCGTGACTATAAAGAAGAAAATGGGCATTTTTGTAAGATTTGAAAGCCGGTTTTAACATATCATCGCATGTAATTTACTTGTTTGTTGTCGATCGTGTTTCTTCAGCGATAATACAATCGAACCTTTAAACAACGGCCATGTTTTGTTTCTGTCGGTGGCCGTTGTTCAGAGGTTTGACCGTAAGATGTACTAGAAGATAATTTACAAATGATATTTAAACGTTTATTTTTGAAATAACACCATAAATTTTTTAAATTTATTTAATAAATTTTCATGTATTTAAAATGCATGGATCCAAGATCGAAGCCGTCCCGGATAGTTTTGTAATATAGGCTCTTGGCATCCATTCTGTGCACAAATTTGAATTTTTTTCAGTCTTCTAGTATATCTTAAATACAGCCAAACCTCTGAACAACGGCCAATGACCAGACCCATAAAAATGGCCGTTATTTGGAGGTTGGACTGTATTATCGATGAAGAAACACGACCGACAACAAACAAGTAAATTACATATGGAAAGATTAAGATTTACAATGCAAACACATATCGAAAATATATTGTATATCCTTTGCGTTATTTAGAAATAATATATGGATATTTTAATGATATTCATAAAGAACACAGTTTAATTTCTGTTTGGATCATTTTATATCTTAGCATTAATCAAAGTTCAACACGTTGCGTTGATTTAACAATCAAATTTAATGAGAATATTTACACTAATTTGCATATTATGGTCGACTCGTGACAACCTTTTCTACTAGCCATTTCGAATTGTTATCCTCTCGAATGTGCATTATTACTGTCGGATTGTATAATTCAGTGTAGAATAATAATGTACAAGTTAGATTCAAGCGTATTTTTCAATTATATGCAAACTAATTAAGGAACAAAGTTACGAAACCCTTCGTTAGAATTCAACGTAACAGATGCTGAATTGCAGCTGCATAAAAGTACGTGTTTTTTTAAGAAAAGTAATGATCTTTCTTCATTTTTCTGAGTTAAAAGTTATTAAAAGGGAATTAAACGAGTGTAACGGGTGAAAAATATCTCCATTCAAAGTATTGTATAGAGAATCTCGACATGATGTATATGTCAGGTTAAGTATAGTCTTATTTGAATGCTGTATCATTTTCAAATATGCTTTTAAACAACAATTTAGTTACTCTCAAAGTATTCTTTCATTGTATAGAAATTTCAGGCAGGCACACGGAACGTGACGTTGTTATAGGAAGCCATTTCAGGGGTAACAACGTCATTACTTTTGAATCGATCTAGAGTCGATTTACACGGAAGAATCACGTTCAACCAATCAAAATCGTCCCATAATTCCGCGCGAACACAAGAACTACAAGAGGAAAAAATGGAGGAAAGTTCGTTGAAAATTTAGAACATAATTATCCCATTTTATACGGGGAAAGGATTGTAAAAATTCGATATTTGATTGGCTAATCGTATGACCACTTGCTTAAGAAATGCCCATCTGAACGCGTCTTAATTAACGCATTTCAGGGCATCGATAATGGTAAACCAATTTATGTTATGTTGTTTTACTTCTGTGTTACGTTAAGCTTTCGTATTACAGTAAATAAAAAGTACGCAAGGATTAGATTTGGTGTTAGATCATTTGTCAATCCAAAGATTTGAGCGCTTTCTTCTATAATATGGCGCTCAAATGAGAGCGCGCGTCACGCAATTAAATACTTCTACAAAATATAATTCTGTTTACTGCTCTGTATTAATCGGAAGTTTTCTAGACGTAGTTGTTTATTTTTTTCTCTAAGTCTCCCTCTCTGCTCCGATCCTTATCGAGCAGTTTTTTTAGGACACATTTTACTAAGTTGTGGCCTTATCGTCACTCCAAACAGGAGTGGAATGTACTTATCCCCCTAATTATGACTGCTGTTCGGAATTTTTTACTCTGTCCCAGCTGTGTTATTAATTAAAGTAGTAATTTCAGGAATTTGTGAACGTTCTTCACTAATTTTTTTTAGTATTTGGTATCCCCTTTTTTTTAAAGTAGTGTTTTAGTAACATTACGCAGAAGTGTTCTCAATTTCGAAAATCAAGATGGCGCTCGCTCGCAGGTTTTTGGTAGGAAGAACAACAGAAGTATCTTAAATAATTCTATTAATTCGTGTGAAATGTTTAAACTAAACTATGGTTTCGTGTTGTAAGAATAAGCAGTGGCGGATTAAGGCCTTCGGAGGTCCGTAGGCACAGAAGATTGGTGGCTGTCCTCTACATAATTTCATATTACAAACTAATAACGTCTAATTTTAACTGAAGAATTATAAATTATTACATAGAATTGAAACGGTAAAATTGCTTTATTTTTTTCCAACTTCTGGACTCCCGAGACCCGGGTCCTTGGACGTTGCCTCGTGTGCCTTGTGGGCAATTCGTAATATTAATGGTACGAATTCGTTTGATGTGGAAACTTTATTGTACAGGCCACTGTAAAAACATTAATATACAGTCACACCACCCAAACGCCGCCATTTTTTTTAATTGTTTCAGTCAGTGGCCGTTGTTTGGAGGTTATTATTTTGTATACACTTTTTTTTTGTTCAAAAAAATGGTTCCTGAAAAATGTCCGCTATTTACAGGTGGGCTTACGGGTTTCTTAAGAATTTATATTTATATTTACAATTAGTTAAGAGAAACTTAGAAATTTTTCTTTCTTTCCCACGTCACTTATTTACAAATTACTCATATATTCTTTTATATTTTGCCATAAGACACAATATTTATAAGAAAAGTATTGTTAATGTGAAAAGTAAATATCGAGATATTGATTGATGGCGTGCCAGATTACCCAGTAGGCACGTGAGGCAAATGCCTAAGCACCCGAGGCTCGAGGAGTTTTCCAAAATTGGAAAAAAAATACAACAGTAAAATTATCTTATCATAATTTATAAATAATTCCATAACTACAATTTAACATTATTAGTATACGATGGAGGCCCGATCTTCTGTGTTAGAGGCCCCAGCAGGTCTTAATATAGGTATGTATCAATCTGTGTTTATTCGAATTCATTTGAATTACATTCATGTTACGAAGAATATTCACGTGATACTTCTCACCCCCCCCGAAGGCAAACGTTTGATAGATACTTGACACGAAACAGCACGCGAGTGTACAAATATTTCCGTTTCTATCCGCGTATTTTCATACGAGGAAGTATTCTTTTAAGGCCCCATTTTTAACAAATATTCATATAGTTAGGGCTTTACTTTATGGTGGCTCAGACTAGAAATTCTACTTGTAGAGGTATATAAATAGAAAAACTTTGTGGGTGGAGGCTCTGCACGCATAGAATCTTAATTAATGATTATAAGGTATTAAATGACATATTATTTTAGTTATTAATTAAAAGAAAAAGCATTTGTAGATTTATAAGATTAAGGTAGATGAGCAGGGTTGTGGCCTTAAGGTATAACATATAACAGGCCCTTCCTCTCCACTGTGTGGGCACTCAGAGGGGAAGAACGAATTGCCCCAAGTTCAGAGGAATTAGGGTCCCTTTACAACGTTTTTCTCGTTTATATTCTTATTGCTGTAAATTCCCCTGATATGTATTTTCTCCAAGGCCCCCGTTACCCTCTGAAAACGTGAGGTCCTAACATATAGACTCAATACATCCCTTGCATCTTATTTAGCTTACATGCAAATTCGGTGCTGTAATTCTACACTTAAAGCAGGAAAATTCGAAAATAATTGCAGTTTTGAGTAGTGTTTTTGTACTAAGAAGCAACAATCTAGACTTTAGATTCGGGGTATGAGCCACAGAAGGGGGTGAATGAAGTTATCAATATGAATAACAGCACTAACGTAGAACGGGTTAAAGAGGATCAAGGTTAAAGAAAGAATAGACAAGCAAGTTTGTTTTTTTTTTTTAAATACATAAACTTAAATTACAATATAAGAAACGTTGACGAAATGGGGTGTGAAGGAAGTGCGGAAATTACATTTTAGAGACAGAAAACATAAAGAAAAAAGTAGCATGATTGACCCGAATTAAAGAAGATGAAGTACAAGGACTGCGTAACACACAATGGAAAGACGTGTGCAGTTTATAGGAAGAATTAGATAATAATTTAATGTGGAATTTCTACGTCATCATCAAAAATCGATCACGAAAAAGCAAGAGGGGTGCGGTTAATCGTTAATAACGCGTGGGCAACGCGACGCGACGCGACACGCAGTACGCGATGCGAAAAGGTTAACAACACACTTCCGGTAAGGAATTGCGAGAAAATCAATAGATCCGGTTTCGGGTATGTGAATTAAATAACGTTTTTAAATTGCGATAAATCGTAAATTTAGTAACGTAATTTCTAAAATGTTTTTGTAGGAAAAGTGAGGCCCTACCCCACGCTCTTAGCTTATAATATTCTGAAAGTAAGTATGTGTTGGTGACTTTCAACGATATCTTAGTCGTTTGACCATCTAAATATAGATGTAATTTGAACTTGTTACACGCAACTCGCCTTTCTCCCCGATATTATCTGTCTACTTTGACTTAATCCAGCTGTTCTGCTTCTTATTTTCACTTTATTTATTCCTTAATTCGCTTATTTTACGACTTAAATCGGGGAGTGAATTTATATTATTGCACGTGTTTCGCGTACGTACTTTAAATTTGATCCGGTTGCATCCGAGTTACTGCCACATCACGCGACTTCATTGCTATTGTTTTGAGGTGTTTCAGTTTATTGCCACACTCGATTTAACGCCATTTTCAGAGGAGAACCAATTATCCTTTAAATCGGGGTACGAAGCTGGAAATTGCGCATATGCGCTCAGAAACGTGGAAAAACGTAACGTTTTTTGCTTAATTTACATTTAGAACACTGTAATTTGTTTCGAGCCGCGTAATTCGTAGAAATAAAGATTGTAAGAGCTGATCGATCGGGTTCGATCGATCGACAGCAAACGAGATTTGTAGCTTAACGAAGATGAATTGAGCGAAATTACTATTTCGGAGGCCATTTACACGTCTCGAATACACCACAAAACACAGTAAAACACAGCAATTCGTGCGCCCGTTCGTTCTATTATAGGCCTATAACGTAGAGAGAGGCTGTCGTAACGTCTGTTACCAGAGAAAATAACGTTTTGCCCCTTATTAAAGAGCACTAATTCTATAAAGTAACGGGCGGTTTAGAAAGGAGAAGGCACTAAAACTAACATAACAAAGTTGTCTTTCAGATAAGTTACGTAATTGATTCTAGAAATCATCAAAGGAATATTCGTTGAATTAATTATAACAGAAAGACGGACCCGCCTTCGATTCTGTATTGATGCAACGCAAAATCGTACAGATATTTTGAAGTTTTTAAAATATTTACTGAGGAAAATCCGTTGGAAAGTTGGCGTTTTAAGAGGGTGGTGACGTTACTTCGGGGGGGGGCGTTATATCGAGAATTGACTGTAGTCGCTCGTAAGTGCGCCACTTAAATTTATATTATACGTGGAGATAATCCACAGTTTTATAGCAAAGTATACAGAATTTCGTTTCCATAAAATCTGTATAATGTTAATTAGATTTAATACAATGCAACTGTTGAGAACAATTAAATTAGTGCAGTGTGCAAGTGTTTAAAACGCACGAAATTGCAAATTCTAATTTAAAAAAAATACTTTTCTGTTAACGTCATCGAAATATTTTATAAATCGGGCGATCTAAAAATAGTTCACCAGATGATTCAGCTTCGAAAAATTGTAGGGATTTTCCCTAACGAGGAGGTATTGAAAGTTTGGTATCGTCACATAAGACGAAATGGAATCGAACAATAGAAACGTAACAGCAGTTTAATTTTTTCCCGTTTTTGGAACAATAAAAAATCCATTAGACGTCGATTGGGGAGCGAGTCACGTTTCCCGATATCTAGAGTAGTGTTTCTTACACCGTCCCTAGTGTGATGTCAGGAAATTTTCGATACCGGCGTGTCCATAGGAAATGCTGCATTTAAATACGACACGACACGAGGCCCTACATTCTCCATTAAATTATACTAGATAATAGGGCCTTTAGAATGGCTTCTTAGAATAGAATTAATATGGCACAGGGACTTTATGTTACTAAGCTCCATCCTTCTTTCTCTGTATTTGTATATCATCCTCTATAATAATTAATAGAATCAACAATAAAATTGCGAAAACAATCGAATTTTCCTGTTAATAATGTTCACATTTACAGGGCAATTTATTATTTTTGGACGATATTTTAACGTCACACAACGTTGTAATTTACTCACTTTGTGACCATTGCAACACGCCTCCATCGACTCGAAACATAAAGTTTCTTATACAATGAGGAAATTTCTGTATATATATATATATATATATTTACATGTATTATAATCCCATTGTATTGGGAAACGTTAAAATGTCATATAAAGTAATGACGTATATACGCCAGTGTCATTATAAATAACGAGTCATGCAAGGTTAACTAACACATGCTTTTGTTCTATTTTTATAACAATAATAAATTAATCGGATATAAAAGTATTGTAACAAAAGCAAAACATATTTTCATGCCTGGTAATCGGATAAGAACGAACGAAAGTATTATAAAAGAATTTTATATTTTGTTAACCCACTTTCAGGTGTTTTCGTGAACCACTTAAAGGCTAAATCCGGTATTTAGTGTCAGCACCATTTTCGTATTGTTTTAATGCCCGATGGAATAGAGATAAAGTAAAATATTTTATTCAGAATCTGCTCTGTTCTGTATACACTTTTCTAGTATTAAATGTTTATTCTGCAATATACTAGAAGCGGATTTGTTGTGTAAACAGTTACAGGTTGCATGTGTGTTGATGCCACTTAAAAAAAAAAAAAACTGTTACTAGAAGCCGTAAAAACTAAAATTTTCGGGTTTAGCAAACTTAAAAGGGGGAAAAAAAAGTTTATTTCGAACCATTAAACAGAAGATGTGAGGGGACCCAAAAGTCGGCTAATCTATTTGTATTTAAACAACTCAGCAATTTATGGATGAAGTATTCAATAAGACACTGAGCCACTGAATGCTAGTAGTTTAGTCGAGGGTTCGCACCTGGCAAAGAGATGCCCTCGTAGAGTTTTTCACGCTGTCTTCACGTGTCTAATTAGGTACCAGTTTTCTATAGAAAGCCCTTCCGGGCGGACCCCTTCCTTGGCAGATGGCCCTTGTGTTGCTTTACCTCATTTCACCAATAATCTTAACAATAATCGACCTTGGAGACATCCCGTATTTGTCTTTTCTCCATTTCAGTTTCTAAAACGAGCAAATTTTTTTTAAGATATACCAAAAATTAATATTCTGCTGTAATCTACAATCAAAACCAGTGTATACAATGCCAAAAAAGTCGGCCTTACCACGAATACAAAGAACTTGTATTCGTCCTTATTACAGCTCACAGTTAAAAATAGTAAAACCATCCCCCCGATTAAAATATAAATTATAAATTCATAGCGTAAATTAATCATATAAATACTCCAAAAGTCAGTTAACCATAATAAGAACTAAAATTTTGTACAATTTTTATTCCCAAGATAAAAAAAAAAAAGAAACAGAGTTAACGGAATTCTGGGCCACCCTTATATACGGGATGATATAATGTACACAGATTGGCCGAAAAGTCGGTTAACCGCGTTTTCTTATTATATTAAAATTATTTTTTAAAAAAACTACGATATTAAACCATTGAAAAAATCAATTCGAAGGGATTCTATTCGTTTTTTTTTTTAACGTACGTTCTGTATGTAAGAGCGTAAATTATTTAGAATATTTTATATAATAATAATAGAATTTGTTTACAGTCGGGGGAAACCAAAAAACCGGGACGTTAAAGTCGACCATTAAAAAAGTCACCCCACCAATTGTGCCTGGGATTGCGAATCGATTCATCTCTACCAATCCTCACAATCAATCAAATAATCAATCCGTCGGTAAGTTATCTCCTTTATATTTCATAGTTTAATGATTCGAAACCATAATTTCGGTTTTGTCGATTGGCAAATTTTTCCATCTCTCTCTCTCTCTCTCTCTTTCTACCATCGTAAATTATATTACTCAGAGTGGAATTACTACAATTGGTCAGCGGGACACTATAGATTTACCACTGTCTTGATCGAATGTAGTAACCCGCTGGCCGGCTCTGTGACGTAATTTATAACCGAAAACACACTCTCGCCTTGTATTCTTCCAGTTTATTGGCATATAATTGTGTAATTTTTATTGTAATTTTCTCCCTCTTCGACTCAATTTCTGTGTTTTCTGAAGCGTGTTCATCGAAGGACACCTCATAAAAGTCTTGGCATTTTTCAATTCCGATGCAAGAATACATTAAAATAAATTTCTGGAATTTTCTCACTTTCTTTGAATATCTTTTAAGGAAAAAATCTCTTCTTTAATAATCGAAAAATGAATATATTTTCTATTGTGTGGAGGAAGTTTTAAGGAAGAGATTTTCTTTAAAACTGGAACACGCGAACTCAAGAAGTCGAGTGTAAAATGAAAGGCAGAGAAGATATATTTATATATATTTTTTCGACTGGGCCACACAACAAACATTTTCAATCAGTAAATGCTGGAAGGTCGCAGCTGGAATTGCATTTCTTGCTATGGGATGTAGTAAATCTATCACTGGTCTTGCTGAGTTAACGATTTGGTTCGAGTGATTTATGCGCTCCATTCTCCATCGACTATCCATCAAAAATAAATTGTAGATATTACTATTAATATAAGAAATAAAGTCGTACAGTTTCGACATTTTTCTTCCTTATTTTTTCATAGAAAACAAACCATTTATTTACTCCAAACCGCCATTTATTCATCTCGACTTATTTAACTTACAGATGAAACCGATTATGGAAGAATATGTGCCAGTATCAACGTTGAAGTAGGCGCCATTTTTAATTCGGAATTTCGTGTAAAATTCTGTTATTTAAACAAAATTCCGTCTGTGTTTTTTTTATTTTTTAATTGTAGAATCTCATTCAAGTGGATGCAACTCCCTCTTCGACGCATGCAACTCTTCTTTCTTCAGGTATTTGATCTTTTGTGTGTTACATCTGTATTTAAAAAAATAATAGATCGTTTTAAAAATTGTATTGTGTTGTATTAGTTGAATCACAGATGGAAGATCAAGGGATCGAAGTAGAAGCGAGCCCTGGACGTGAAAGTCCCGGAGGGAGTAGCGTGGGATGTTTATCTCGACACAGCACTGCCAGTGTGGATAGTGGGAGATGCTCGATAACTTGCTCCGAAATTAAGGTACCCTCTCCTTTCCCTTCTAATTTGCTGTATTTGTTACACGAAAGTGATGAAAATTCTTCACATTTACCGTTAAAAATGTACACAACTCGTGTCTCATCATGTGTTATTTGTGTTTTCTCGTTCCCTTAACTACCAATTTGGATAGAAATTATATGTTACTCGACTATTGTTACGTGTATCTCAGAAGGTTATTGTATTGTATATTGCTGGGTGATTCTAAGTTACTGTATACGTTACTAATGTGAAATTATGTAACTGCAGATATTTCTGCATTCAATATTACGTAAAAATACACTAGAAATTTGGAGGATTTTTTAGCATTTAAAAAATAAAATCAATAATTAATTTACTTTAATATTTATCAACGGATTGAGAGTGGAGAAGGATCGAATTACACACTTGCAACATCCCAAAGATGCCTTTAAGTATCCGATAAGCATGGTGACCCTAAGGTATAATATCTAACAGGCCCTTCTCTGCTAAATAATAAAACGTAAAAATGTGAGGCCCTAAGCTAGACTCGTAACTCGAGGCCCTTAGCTGCAGCTTGTTTGGCTTACGTACAAATCTGGCCCTGCCCAAAAGGGAATACGGAGTGAGCAACTAAAAAATGTTCGGAAACATTATTATAAGGGAGAAATAACATAAAAATTACGCATTGATTAAAGATAACCTTCAAAAATTTAAATATTTCGTAACGAATTAATTATTTAAGATACTTAAAAGCTTGGTATGCAAACACTTGACTCAAATTACACAAAGTAGAAGCACTTACAAACATAAATTTCTGAAGAATATTTAAAATTTTAAACCACTTTAATAATTAAATAAGCCAGGAAATTGCTAGTGTTTCCGGTTTATGTTGATTGTATCCTTCCGAATGCCCCGTTGTTTTACATTAAAATGGAGTAATTTGATACGGAAAGAAGAGAAATACTTAAGAATATTGTTTAATTCTTTACAGAATCCGCCCAGAATATCTGCTCAAAATTCGGAATCAGGCCAAGTTTTAAACACGAACGTTGAAGACTGCGTTAACGTTGCAGAGATGCTAGTCTACAATCTACCAGTGAGTAGGGTGCTCTTTTGTTCTTTTTTTTTTTTTCTTTTCTAGAACCTGTTGTAAATTTAGGGTGCGCATTATCCTTCCACAACACAAACATTTCCATAAAGAATAGCGTTTGTAGATGTAAAAAAAAAAAAGAAATAAATTCCAGAGAACTTTTAACATCTCGGGATGATTTAAACGTTGGGATGATAAGGAAAAGTGATGCGAGACGTGGGAGATTGCTTCTCTTTTTCCCAGTCACTTCGGCACCTTTAAACTCCTTGTTATATTTTTCGTCATCCCTTTTGCTATTGGTGGATTCGGTAAAAAGCGACCAATCAGACACGTCGTGCGACGAGACGGAGCCGGGCGGAAAGGCAGACATTGCCACTCGGATGCCACTCGTCTGTAGCAAGTTTTTCGCCTCGACCGCTCGCCTATCACGTGACCCGCCGTGGAAATGGGGGTGAAGTTACCGAATCCTCGCTAGATGAAGAAGTGCGTGACGTCATGTCGAAGAGACAAGCGATCGACTTTAACAGGAAGGTAAGGGGTCAATGTCTGTTTAAGAGTGCTGACCTAGTGTCGGAGGGTGGCTGGCGTACCGATCCTATAATAGTTCCTCTCGTGAAAATTTAATCGTTGAGGGAAGTCAACTTGAAACAATTGATTCCCATTGCAGAAATGTGCCGTGGTGTCTTCTTACGCGTAAACACTTCGATTGAAGAAAGAGGAAATTGAAAATTTGTGTGTTTTCTACGTGTTTTTCCGAATCCTCCGGCACCAGGAAATGAGTGTTTATACTAAAAAAAAACACACACACACACACACGCAGCATAATTATCTTTCCTACGCGTGTACATCGCTGTTAATTCGCTTAAATTTACCACTCCTTTGCGTTAACTTCTCTGCAAAATTGGTACCCGAATTGATCTGCGGCTTTCAAAAACCCCATCGGATTCTTCAACCTTATTTTAATACTCGAATACATCATCGATAATTCGATTTACGTTCGAATTACCATAAAGATTTCTTTCGACACGAAACCCCCCCAAAGCCTGTTTCTAAGGGGTTAAAAAAAAAACACGATCTTTAGTGTTTCTTTATAAGATCTTGACCCTTCTGCTCTTGGCTCCGGGAGTTAGGAAAGAGAATTTTTTTTATCAATCATCCTCGTTAATGATGATTTTTTTTTATCCCGGTTATCACTCGGATAACTTAATTACGACACCAAAAATAAACATAATCGATTTTAATATACCGAATTTCCCGAGAGCGTTTATTTCCATTTAGCGAAAAATCCATTACAGAAATGATTAAAATTAAATTTCACGCAAACCCTTAAAACTTTCATTAATTTGGGGTTAATGTAATTAGTCTTTTCATTTATTCCACAGTTTACTTGTGAAGTTCGTTCTTGTTGTTGTTGTTTTTTGGAGCTGCTGCCTTAAAAACTGGAGGGTTGAACTGTTTTTCTTTTATTTTTTTTTTTTGTATGTGTTTTGTTGCTATCGTGTTTTATTTCTTTAAATTTTTTGTGGTTTAATTAATCGAAGGGTGTTTTATGTATGGTTTCCGTGCGGGAGTTATTGCTCCGACTGCTTAACAGTTAGTTGACTGCAAGTTGCCGTGACCTCTTGTTCGATCGATATAGTTTGTGTGCTTATTTTGGTAGGAATTATGATAGCGAAAGTGAAGTTTTCTGTCGATACTAAGAAGGGGTTTTTCCGATTTTACGTGCACAATCGCCAATTTTACTCGATTTTTCACGCAATCTCCAGCTTTTTAGATTTTTTTTTTACCCCCTGCACACAATCATTATTCCCTCTTGACTTTTTTTTTCGTATAATTGCTGGAATATTTCGTATAAAATCTACGATTTTCTTTCATTTTTTAAAGTTTCGCTTCGATTTTTTCTTCGTTTCTTAACGCGTAATCGCAAATTTTCAGTATAAATCCTAAACGAAAATGACATATTGCAGCTGAATTTGACACGTTGTTCATTCATTTACGGGTGCAATGTACTGTTTAAGCTTACTCTTACCGTAAAAAAAAAAAAAAAAGGAAATCGAATTTAAGTTACGTAAATGATTAAAATTTCATGCTGATGAAACCAAAACTTGAACTTTTCTCTAGGAAAATGAAATATTAAAGTCTTGGCTCAGCAGTGTTCATTTCGAAGAGTACGTTCCTCTTTTCGTACAAGCGGGGTACGACATGCCTACAGTGTCTCGCATGACACCAGAAGTGAGTACGCTCGAGTCATTAAATTTACTATAAATGTCACGACACTTTTGAAATATTTATCAATGTTTACGTCCTGCAGGATCTGACTGCGGTCGGGATAACTAAACCTATGCATAGAAGGACTCTCAAAGCAGAAATTGCCAAGTTGAACATTTCTGATGGAATACCCAACTATAAACCGGTAAACTTTATGTTATTTTATACTTTATAGTTATAATAATGGTTAAAAAAAAGTATGAAGGATTGTTGCAACAGCCTGCGTGAAAGTCAGTTTGAAAATCGCTTGCTTAGAATGTTAATAACTTGTCTGTTTTTCCCCCCTCTATTAAAATCAATTAATTTTAAATAATAATAAGAATATAAACATTGTATCTTTTAAAAACAATTATTGTAATTTTATAATGCAAAACAGCCAGATGATTGTTTACCTTAAAAGTAATTAACAAATTGTTTTTCATTTTTGACTGTTTCTGGCTCTTTTGCACCAAAAGTGTCTTTTGATCATACCCATTGTGTCAAAGGACCCTCTCTCTCTTGTCACCAAGGCTCTGTTGTCCATGCTGGATGACGAGATAAGGCTCAATATATCATGGCCAAACTGGCTATAAAAATTTATGAGTGGATCCGGACTCAAACCCGAGTCTTCCAGAGCAACAGGCCGGAGCCTTTATTGATTCTGTCATCCAGCAGTCACACAAGAGCTTATTTGGAATTTTTCTATGCCAATATGTGATTTGCATATCCTTTATTATCAATAGATAATATTAAACTTAATTTTTATTATTATAAAACAATTATAGAAAGGACTTTTTTCCTCTACTCATTGTGGCTCATCCAAGCCCATAATGGGGTCTACTATGGGGTTTAGGATGAGGGATGGGGACTGATGTATCTGGAATAGATCACCCATGAAAAATTTCTGTGGTTTATCAACCACTCAGTGCCGTAACTAGCCATTCCTGTGCCCTGTGCAAGAATTGCATTTAGGCCCCATAATTAATTAGGTTTGAGAAAATAATAAAACAAATACATGCATTTTGGGACCCCTTCCAAGTGGGCCCTGTGCAGGTGCACTTTTTGCACTTGCCTAGTTACAGCACTGACTCAGATTCATTTCAGGTCCCCCAGAGTATAGGTTGATGCCTTAACCATTTAGCCCATCAGGTCATCTATATAAAGTAATAAGTGTTATCTCTCGTATTCAAATAAAAAGTATTGTAGATCTTAATTAAACTGTTAAAATTGTCTTACAATCTTCAATCCTTACTTCTATATCTAAGATCTTAAATATTTTTAAGTTATTAATATTTTACATCAGAAAAATAGGTAAAAGTGCACTTAGGTAGCCTCTATGGCAGGAAGGTTAGTTTTTAACATGTATCAGTCTACTGCCTATTCTACATGCGAAGCATGTAGACCTGTGCCTCAGTGCTCGCTATCATTTGCAGCTCGGCGCCCAGGTGGGGCGAGCCCCACACCCTCCTAAAACTATATAACATCAAGTACTCCATGGACAGTTAAGTGGTCTACTTGAAGCCAACATAGTCACGTGGGCTAAATAATTAAACACCATAGTCTTGGAAGTACCACCATTGGGGCTACCTAGATGCACTTACCAAGAAATATATGTTTCTTTAAAGAAATAAATACAATTAATCTTTTATTTCTAAATTAAACATTTTTGAATATTTAAAAGAATACACTACTTGAATGGCTACAGTTACTGAGACTGGAAGATTATCATAACACACTATGCAAACAGGGTTACGATACCATCGACAGAGTTACAGAATTGGCATGGGAAGATCTCGAAGAAATTGGAATACAGAAACTTGGTAAGTGTTTATGCCAGATAAATTTTGAACTTTGAAAAGTAATTGAATAGAATGAAAGATATTATATATTCACAGTGGCCAAACTGTGGTTTTCAAGCCCCGAGTCACTTTTCTAGACTTACTGTGGCTTTCTCACAGTCTAGTTAAACAATTTCTTTTTATAAACATAAACTTTATATATGTAATACTGTTCTAAATATGTAATATATATATATATGTAATACTCTAATATGTAATTCAATAGAGAATGTGGCTCTTGCATATTTTTGATAAGTGATATATGGCTCCTATTGTGACACAATTTGGCCCCTCCTGCTATATATGTAATTAAAGTTTTTGATGAATCTATTACTTTATTTTAATATTGAATTGTTAATTGTTCAAATTGTTTAATACTTTATTCTTTTGAAATTCTGATATAAAATAATTGAAATAAAGTAAAAAAAAAACTTCAGATATTTTATATATTTGGCTAAATACTGTAGTTACATAGTGGAGAATTTTTTTAGCACAACAGATCTAAGCTCATTATAATCCTTATAAAATTTTTTTATTTTTCAGATTGAAATATGTTCCTCATTCTCAGTCAGCTTCCTGTTATCTGAGATTTGATAAATTTAAGTTGCTCACATAAAACAACACAATCTGTCACAAACTGGACATTACAGTACACAAGAACATGCCAAAAAAACCTCAGTTCAGTCCATCAATGAATATTCAATGGAAATATTCATCTTTTCAGATTCCTGCTGAATCCTGCTTCAGGTTAAACTTGTACTACAAATGGAATCTTTCAATAAAAAATCTGTGAAATTCAGCTTTAAATACGTTAAAGCGCTCCGTGCATGACATATCCAAAATTATAACAAACCATTATAAAGTGCTTGGCATGCTTGTGATATTTTCATCTCATCCCATTGGAGAATGCCTTGGAAAATGATGTAGAAGCTAAGATTTATCAAGCACACCTGATAAGCTGTACAATATGATCATATAAAGGTCTTGAATTTTTAGAAGTCTTTAAAGTGGCCATAATGGGAATTGCATCAAGCATAAAGATGAGATGCAAATATTCATGGGCATGGCAAGTACTTTATGATGGTTTGTTATAATTTCAGTTTCATTAAAGCTCTCCTTGCATAACTGGCACATGCCTATTTAAAGTTGAATTCCATAGATGTTCTTTTGAAGCATTCCATTTCTAGTACAAGTTTAACCTGAAGTAGGATCCAGGAGGAATCCAAAAACCTTTATGAACATTTCATTGGATATTTATTGCTGGACTGAACTGATGTTGATCACATATATCAGGGATCGGCAACCTTTCAGCAGTGTTATGCCGAATGTAAGTTATAATGTTATTCCGAGTGCCGACATGATTCTACCAAGTTTATTATATATGTTATCAAACTTAGTCCAGTTATAATCAACTTCAAAAATGTATAATTTTGAAGTTAAGTTGTTAATTGAATTATGTTCTTACATGGGAATCGCTTACATAACATGTAGATGGCAACACAAAGCATAAACACATGCACAGTAATAGAAATATACAAACAAGAGATTCATTTTTAATGTGCCATGGCCTTTGTTGAACTATGACTTCCATTTAAATGTGTAATTAGTAATTAAAATATAATTTTTACTACATTTTCTATTCACTCAGAGTGCCACTAAAAATCGTCCTGCATACCACAAGTTGCCGACCCCTGACATATACTATTATGTATTATTTTCTTACAGAAAAGGTTGATTAAGTTCTATTCTGATATTAAATAAATAAAGAAAACAAACAGGTTAATGCATAATTTTTTTAATCCTATTATTTTATTACAAAATTTTAACAAAAGAATTGACAAATGTTGGAAAATAGGGGAAAAAAAATAATATTTAAAAATATAAAGTGACATTAAATAATATGAATAATTACAAAAATTTTTTAAAATAAAAGTTTAAAGTACCCAACAATCAGATCTACACCTTTTTATAGAGTAATTAGTTTTATTTGTCAACAGAATTGTCAATATAAGTTGTATTTGTAAAAACATTTAGGCACACCAATGACGTTTGATATACTAGACTAGTCAACTGAAAAACTTCTTGTAAATACCTACTCTTTACAAAGAAGAGATGATATTTCTAGATAAATAATTGCCTAAACAATAGATCAGTAAAAGAGATTTCTTTCTTGATTGCTATTATCTTCTCCTTCAATTTATTTCCATCAGGTTTTCCAAAAGATTAAATTTAACTGTTTATCTCTCATGTAATGTTGGATAATGAAGAACATACACAGAATATTTGGCATTAATGTGTGTGTCATTGCAGAGCTACAAATGAGCATTGCACTTCTAAAATTAATAGAATAAAGCTGAGTTGCTCTATAAAATACTATAGGTTTAATTGTTGTGTAATTTTATATACTTTCAAAATAAATTCTTGCAATTCTTTACTAGTGTTGCCACCATTTGAAAATTACTGACCTGGACAGCAGGTCAGGTTTGTTTGAACAGAAGTTCCTGATGCATGCGCAATGTCATTTTACAATGCGAAGAATAACGTGCATGGCGTTTCTAAATCAGTTACAGTTAGGGACTAGGGACTTGCGTAGGAGTAATCTAAATTAGGAAAGAACAGGTACAGATGACTTTGCTCTATTGGATATTGGAGAGATGTGTACGATCGTACATGCAAAAAACAAAAAAAAAAAGGTCGACAGGTTGCACGCCACACGTTGGCGTAAAGAGACTAACCGACATGGCAGAATTGCAGAAGAGTTTCAGTGAGTGTGCGTTCTTTCACTGTTAAAATAGTGTAAATTTGTAAAAATATTTGCAAGAACTTTGTTTCATTGTAATTTCACAATTTCTACGAAATTCCCAGACAAAATTAATAGTTCACCCAGACAGTGAGTCAATTCCCAGACTGTCCGGGTGAAAACTGGACGGGTGGTAACACTATTCTTTACATAACATACAGATATCCTATATACTGTTCTTTATACATATATACTTATATCAATTTGCAATATGATTCTTATATGATTATTTTAGCATCAAAATTTCATTTATCTGGATTATCTTCTTTTATATTCATTGAAACAATGAATATAAAAGAAGATAATCTTATTAATCTTCACTTCTTAATGAAAGTAAAATTCATAACATTCCTTTTGGTTGCTTTCAAAAGTATAGAAATTAAAAAAACAATTGAAGTTAGAAGTACTTTGCATTTTGTTTCATATTTATTATTTTAAGTAAAAGTAAATGGACAAGTTACTCAATTGTTTAAAATTAATAATAAATAAATACATGTTATGTAACACTTTTTTATCATTAAATTTTCTTACATAATATACAGTAACAATTTCAGAAAATATATTTAAATTATTAAATTTATTGTTTGAATTCTAAGTTTAATGGTTTTTTCTGACCTTGAATTTAGAAGTAAAACAATCAGTTTACTAATTTAAAAATTGTTGAAACAATTCCAGCATCAGAAACAAATTTTTGTATAGTTTTATAACAAGAATTTTAAATCATTTATAACAATTCAATTTTTAATTATTATTTTTTAATAAATTATTTTAATATAAAATTATGTTTATAAATAAATAAATCGCTGTTAATTCTAAGAATTTAAAGCTGGGTTTGATTAGATTTTGACTGAAAATGTTTCTTTTTTATAATGAAAGGTTGTCTTCCTGAAATTAGAATTGATTTATTTATTTACAGAGAATTAGCCAAGTTTTATAACCTTTTATGGTTAAACTAATTACACCGTAATTTTACTATAAAAGGTTATAAAACTTGGCACTACCTTTTATAAATTAATAAATGTTGAAATAAATCAGTGGTATTCAAACTGTGTTCTCCGGAACCTTAGGATTCTACAAAGATATAAGAATTTATTTTCATTTCTTTCTCTAAAAATATTGAAAAATAAAAATTTCTAAAACTATTTTATCTACCTATAAGAATCTTTATTACTTAGAAATTAAAAATACCATTGAAATCTTTTCACAAGTTACTTTCTTACTTTAATCTTGAAGATTCTGTAAAAATAATATTTAGACATGAGGGTTCCGCAGATGTTAAAAGTTTGAAATAAACTAATAAATATATTATTGCTTTAAAAAACAATTGAAAACAAAACTATAATCAAATGATAATGCTGAATTCATCGGGCTATAATTTGGTTAATTAAATATGTAGATACAAAATAATTTGGACTAAAGGTCACTATTTTGTATTAAATTTAATAATTATAATGAAATTAATTTAAATATGCTAGAAATAAAGATCAAAAGCAGTCTGAAGCAGGAATCAGCCCCATGAAGCAGGAATCAGCCCCATCTTGCTTATCATGGAGGTGTGTTGCCAATTATACTACTAGGATAATTGGTAATGCATCTTCTGTCCAGTCTTATGGTTTTAGGTTTAGTTTAATACAGTTACACTATTAAATAATATCATTGAAGTTCAATACTCTATAAAACTGGGCATTAATATACAGATAAAAACTGTAACTTTCAAATTCTCCCAGAAGAGTGGTGAATGTCCAGAAAAAACAAATGCTTTGAGTCTGTCTAACAAGTAAGACCTACTTTAGGCTATAATTTTTGCAGAAATGGAATGTCACAGGCTTCAATGTTCAAAAATAGAATATGCAAAAGAACTCCCAAGAAAAATTTGAAATGTTTTAAATTTGAATTTTTTGGGAATTCTACATATTACATTTTTGAACATTGAAGCCTGTGGCATTCCATTTGTGCAAAAGTTGTAACCTGAAGCAGGTCATAGATACAGATTGAAAGCATTGTTTCTGCTGGATTTTCATCACTCTGCTGGGAGAATTTTAAGATTAGAGAATTTTATTTGAATGTTATCATTATCTGTTATACTTTATTTCATATTTTATTGTTTCACTCTTTCTGAAATCCTTTCTCCATCATCTATTTATGCAGACACATAAATACAATTATAAAGATATCTAAATTGATTAGAAAATAATCATTTAGTGGACTAAAATTAGATTATCAAACAAAAATTTCTTTTGTGTTTGATAATCTAATTTCATTTTCAGAAGAATAACTTGTAAATGTCATTTATTAATCAGTTTTAGAAGAATATCGATATATATTAGATTAGATTGAATTATTTATTTTCACAATTTAATTAGGTCATCAGAAAAAAATTATGCTTGCCATTAAAAGAATTCAAGATATAAACAGTGGAATACGAAAACCGAATTTGAATCCTGTCCCTGAATATATCGGCAGAGGGACATTACCCCGTCCGCAAACACTTGGTATGTCTCCTGATGTTGTTTATAATCCGTTAAATTTTTCATTTACAAATATTGGTAATTAATTATATTTTAGGTCCCATGAATCCACTTCCTGCTGTACAATGTCATGGTCAAGAAATAGCCATCACTACTGTTAAAGTTAAAACTTCTCCATCTGCTGAAATTTCAACTTTTCCAGAACTTAAAACATTTCAATATTCTCCAATCAAAGGAGATAGCTTCAGATGGCCTGGAAATGGAGATTCTTTCTCACCTGTAAATGCAGTAAACAACTTTGAACCCCAAATGGTGGATATTCAGGTAAAAATGTACAAAATATTTCATAATTAATTAACCAGTTAATTAATAATTATTGATATTACTTAGGTGCAGTCTCCAAATCGAAGGCATTCATTAGAAAATCTTGATAAAGGTGATTCAATATCATCATCCCATCATCATTATATAAATAATTCTGATAGTTGGTATGATACTATTAGTGCATGGAGACATCATGGTTATGATACCGATAGCGAATTAAGCACTCATGGAGAACATTGCTATTTATATGAATCTGATGGAACAGCAACATTACAGAGGCCAAAAGGACTGGTAAAACCACGACCAGTAGCTAAAATTATTGCTAAATCTCGCCAAAACAATCAAATCAACGAATCGGAAACTGTGAAAAATTTGAAATATAATGGACAAAAGACAGATCAAATTTCTGTAGAAAGTTCTCAGCAAGCCAATATTTTGTCTACAAATTTTGGAACATTGAAATATAAAAAAACGCCACCTCCACCTCCAAAGCGAAGCAACTCTATAAAGAGCGATCCTTCTGTCGAACGTACCATAGAAGCAATGAAAGATGAAGCATTTGCCACATGTGTTAAAGGATTAGCATCTCACTTTAATATAGCAAAAAATAATGAAATATCATCAAATTCAAATCAGATAAGAGCAGTTCAAGGAAATTCTGAAGAATTTCCACCCCCTCCTTCTCCATTACCAGTAATAGAAGTAGATACAAAACCATCAGTATCAACAAATAGTTATAATGATAGTGAACAAAAGGAAATTCCAGAATTATTTTCAAATGCCATGTTTAAACAAAGGAGAAAACATTCTTTAGATTCCACTAATTCCAGTTCAGAATCTAACACGTTACCTTTTGCAAATGAAAATGTGAGCACGATTAAACAGAAAATAAACAAACCTCAAGTGTCGGAAACTAAATCTCCATCTCCATCAATAATTCGTAAAACTACTTTGACTATTCAAGGTAAGCAATAATTTTTATATTTATTTAATCAAACAAGGCATGCAAATTAATCTTATATTTGTAATAGGAACATAAGATATATATATAAAAATATATCATTTATTTATAATAACTAAATAGAATTTTCATATTACTGTATGAATTCTTTTTAAAACATTTTTATAGTACTTTTTATAAATGAAATTCTGATTTAATATATAAATGAAAGTCTATGTTTAAATTAGACTTTTTTTCTTTTAGGTTTATTTTCCTTTATTTTATTTTATGAAATTAAGTATATCATCATCATTTAATCATTTTAGTACTATAAACAATATATATTGGTCCAATTAGTTCATTTTCATTACATTAATATTATTATTTTAGCATTAAAATAATATTAAAAATGATAAAAGAGTGAAATCACTAATAAAAATAAATTAAGGATCTCTCTTAGCATATTTATGTGACTGTGGAGTTTTAAATATGTGGACTTGCATGTTTTTTTACCCTGTGGGCACAAAGAGAATTTTTTTCAGATCCACAATTGGATGGGTGGATGGTGAGATATAGAACCCAACATATCTAGGATAAATTACCCAAGAAAAATTCTTGGAATTTTTTGACTGCCCAGATTCAATCCTGAGTCCTCCAGAGCAGTAGACTGATGCCTTAGTTAACTGCTTCAACCATCCAGACAGCAGACTTGCTCACTACAGCACTTACATATTTCATAAATTAATTTATCTGAAAAATGAAAATGGGATGCAGGCAGTAGTGATGATTGGAGAGGGCAGGTGCCCATAGTGGCACTTTTGGGGGGCAGCATTTTTGGTTTAGTGCAACAAAAGGAAGGTTTTTTGTTAGGATAGTAGGATAAACTACAAGACACCATACTTAATTTTATTTTTCCACAAAAACATTGCTTATTGTTAGAAATTTCCAACAAAGTAAGCACTGTTGTGTTTACATCATAATTTCACAATTTCTACAAAATCTAGACAAATTAATAATCAATCTGGACAATGAATTTAAAAACCGGCTTGTCTGGGTGAAAATCAGCCTGGTAGCAACACTACATAGTAGAATGCTAAGTTAGAAATCTAATTGACTAGAAGGGCAGAGCTAAGAAACATTCTGAGTATCCTTGAATGATATGCTGAGTTAGCAAGTTAGATTGGTTGTCTGTAAAAATGGTAAATGACATAATCATAATTTTATGACCATTGTAAGATATATTTAGTCCAGCATGAGCAGCCATCTTGCAAATCATATCTTGAGACAAAAATGATGACATCACTAGCAGAAGTCAGCATAGACAAAATAAGCTGACTGAACTACTTTGAATTTTAGCAGTGGGAGGAGTCAAGTAGTATTTAGAAACAAGTTCAGCATCACAGCATAACTAGACTTAGCAAGAATTCTGTGATACTATGAATAAGGCTCAGGTCTGTATAAAACAATTGGTAACAAGTTCTGCTTTGGATTTAATTTGGATTCTGGAAACAAGTTTAAGTTCTGCTCTGGATCAATCTTTTCTTCCAGAATAGAGAAATAAATTGATAAATTTAGACAAATTAAATTTAATACAAAATTGTAATGTAATTGTCTGCATTTAGTCCACATTACATAATATCTACATAACTTATTAGCCAAGTTCTAGCCCATAGTTAATCAGACCCTATCATTTGATTAAAAGTTAAGTTTTAGATAATGTTTTATTATTTTGTTCCATTCTAGAATGTGATAATGCCCAAAAATATTCATTCATAATAAATGTTATTGGATTTTTAAAGCTTCTTTGCTTTACAATTGTTATTTGTCCAGTTTGAAAATCATATTTAAAGTTAATTGTATTATTTTAAAGTTAAAAAAATATTATTTAATTTATTTAAATATAATTAAATTAAGTGTAAATTCTGTTGCTTAATATTCCAAGTGGTTTTATCATGTATTTATTTATGAAATCTCCAAAATAAACATTGTTAAATGAGAAGTTAAAACAGTTTAAAACAATTTGAAATTTAATAATATTTTGTTTTTGATAAATATATATAAAATATAGTACAGTATAAATTTAACCTGAATTTATTATTATAAACATTTCTTGTAGATTTTGATTAATTGTTTTAAAAAATATTATAATTGGATGCATTCTAGTATGCATCAAACGGAGCATCAATGAACCTCAATGTACTAAAATGCATTCTGATATTTACTGATGAGTTCATCAGTGCAGTGACAAATTCGCATAACACTCTTTGGACTGTGAATATGGCTGCCTCCATGGTTCTATTATTAACACCAGTTTTAGTACTCATCCAAAATAACTCAAAGTTATTTTGATAAAATGAGTCTGCAAATGCCAATGTAGTGCCATTTGTTTCTGCCACCTTTCTAGGTTGCCAGATGTTCCAGTAAAAACTTATTAAACCATTGGCCAATGGCTGAGACTGATGCATGGTGGAATATACCCATTGTCAAAACTAATTGAAAAGTTACATATGTTCAGAATAAAAAATTTGCTATAAATGAATTATGTTGATAAGTAAATTTTAAATTCTTTTTTTTTTGCAATATAAAATTAGTAAATATTTAATGAATTGTTTTTAGTCTGTCAATGAAAAAAATTGTACTTAATTACATTAATAAAGAGAAAAATGTTGCTTCAAGTATGACAAAATAATAGTCAAGGTTCTTGACAAACTTATTTCTTTTTGCATACTTGTTATATAGAATTAACATGTATCTTGAGCTTGTTTTTTCATTATTCTAGAAGAGATATATATTTAGAGAGTATTGTAATGAGTTATTTTCATGTAATAAAATACAGAAACTCCCTCTTTTACAATCAAATTAGTTTGTAAAAAAACTATTGTTGTTAAATGAGCCATCATAAATTGAGCTGTTATTCATGGAAATGGACTTTAAACTATATAATACTATATTGAAATGGCCAATAAAAGAAGTACAGTATTTAAATACCATGTTTCTTGTGATCATAACAGAAAATTTATACCAGTCATAAAAGCAAAAAGTTATAAAACATATATAAAGCAGGAAGTCTAAGAAGCATGTAACAATATAAATATATAATTTTAAAATTTATTTATGTTATATCCTTTATTAAATAAACTCTTTATAATCACATCTAGCAATTGAAGTGAATAGCAATGTTACAATTTCATTTTTTACAAGAAGCTACAAATGTTTTATGCTTTTTCTATGTCCATATTTAAAATTTGCTCATTTATACAGTTACTTGCTGACTTGAAGTTAGATTTTTATTGGTTTCCTACTTTTGAATTTAAATAATTATTTCATTAAACATTTTTTCCTTATGGCCTAAAAACATTGCAAATATGCACATTTAACCTTGTCAAATTAAATTTCTGAAGAATTATATAATGCATTTGTAACCTTTTTACACAGAGGACACGAGACTGTAAATTATGCTAAGATTTAAAATAATGTACTCAAAATCTACCATCACTCTGAAGAAAGACAAAAGGAAATGTTTTCTCTGCCTTTGCTAAGTTATTGGAGCCTGTGTTACTCTACTTGCTGTTCTTTAATCTCATTTTTCACTTTCAGCCAATGATCATAATTAACTTTTCTTTTTTTACCTTGATTCATTTTTTTCTAAAACAGGTGAAGCGAGAGTTTCTGGAACTAGATCTGCAATCTTGTCTGCATATGAAACCTTTCCATATAAATTTCATACTTAAAAAATTAAAAACAGTTTGTCTGATTACTTTGTCTAGTTGAATAAATCTACTGAAAACAGTTTAATATCTTTTACATATTCATCTTTGTAATGTGAAAATTTATTCTGAATTTTAATGACTCTCTATTGATTTTAGTCTTTAACAAGTTAATGTCATTCTCCAATGGAATTGGATATGCCAACATAATATCTTACTCTCAAAGGATTAATTGAATTTTTAATATCTTGTGGCATTTTAATATTTCATTAATTTCAAATATGCAATCCAATTAAGCTCAGAAGTTATGCCAAGCCAAACACAATGAAATATCACTATATTTTTCAGGGATATCAAACTAGAAGATAGCATGTGAGATTTTATGATAATTCTAAATTATTTATAACTGTATTTGTGGGCTGGGCTGTCAAGAGCATGCATGAGATCCAGGATAGAGTGGGTCCTTTTGCTGCTGTTTTCCAATAAATGAAATATGTAGTAGGTTTCTTTGGTTACAATTTAAAATGTTTGGCATTTCTAAACTTTATGTTCAATTTTCTTGCATTCTAAACCATTAGATTTACAATGTTCAATGGAATATTTGTAAACCTGAAGATGGTCTTTTAATAAGACTGAAAATGTTAATTATTAAAAAGTTCTTGCTGCTCAATAAAGGTTGTGAGTGACTTAGTTACTATTTCGGCAGTTACTTTTTATATTATGCTTCTTTATTAATAAAAAGTAGTTTTAAATATTTTATTTTTTGTTAGTAAAAAGAAAATTAATTTATTTTGTAGTACCATTCTGGCGAGTTCTGTGTCATTCCTGCCTTCTCTGATGGAACATTGATGCTCTGAAATGCGGTTAGCTAACATTCTGGTTGTCGCACCAATATAATGGGTGCGACCGCCTATATCATTCTCTAATGGGACTGAATACACCNTTGTTAATATATGACTGGATTGCTTGGTGATTGTTTATAATGTAAAGCATATTCAATTTACTGCAATATATGGTAAATGACTATGATCTACTATAAATTTAAAATAAAATTCAGTTATTTGATATCAAACATAGTTCTTTAGAAAAGGATCCAAAACTTATGGGCTTTAATTGAGCTACAAACTGCATTATTTTTGATATTCTAGATCATAATAAAAGTCATCAAATGCTTTATTTATATGTTCTAATAAGTTCTAATAACATTTAATTGTCATATCTGAAAAAATTGTATGATAATTTTCATACAAATCTGTAAATTGATTTAAAAATTAAAATGTAATGTTGGAAGACCATTGAGCAATTCTCTCAACACTT